AGCTAATCAGTGGCTGAATAAATAGCAGTACTCCTACATTAAAAAAAGTAAAAAGAAAAAAAAAAGAAAAAAAACATTCTGTGTCCCCATTGGAAATCACCTTCTTTAAGAAACAGAAAACAAACCCTTCTCATGAGGTTACTACTCCTGTAAACTGCACTCCCACCCCCCATTTTGTGGACATGTCCAATGTCGCTCAGTAGGTGCTCTGTGGACCATAAGCAGGGCTGAGGATTGAAAAGGAGTAAGTCCAATGCAAAGCAATGGTCTTAAACCCGTAGTAGCTCTTTGAGGCTACCACTCATCCCTTGGATCATTCCAGCACAACCCCTGACTCCCTGTCATGGTGGGGGTATTACCCATTTTTGGAGAAATGCTGTTCTAGATGATGGGAATGCAAAAGTCAACTAAATCCTTCTCCTCCTGTAGCCTGTGATACTCCCAAGGGAAGAACAGAAAAGAAGAAAATTCAGAGGAAAGGAACAGAGAGTGGTGAGGACTTTAGAAATTCTTTTTCTTTTTGTTTGGAGAGGTAGAGGGGGTGCCAGAAGACACCCAGGGATCAGACCTGGGCTCCTGAATGCAAAGCCTGTGTCCTGTCCTCTTCAAATTTGAAATTTCTACAGGGCCAGGGATGGTGAGAAGGCACGCTATCTGTTGCATAGAGGTGACCCTTACTTCATTCTGTGTAAGGTTTAAGAAGGTTGCCTGGCAGTCAATTCTTTCAAAAACATTTCAATGACTAGATTTCTCTTAGTGGGAAGTGCTTTATAAAATTCAAGATTCCTTCCCCAAGGGAAAAAATTCTTAACATATCAAAGATGAACTTTTTTGGCAATACAGGTATAATAGGACCATTAGAATGTCTTGGCCATATCTCTGCTGGCTACCAGTATCTCTTTCCTGCCCACAGAAATGCCTCAGGAGTTAAAGTCCTAACTGACCAACTCTTTGTGGTCCCTTATCAATAAATGCAGGCTCGGGGCTGGAGCGATAGCACAGCGGGTAGGGCGTTTGCCTTGCATGCAGCCAACATGGCCAACACAGGTTTGATTCCCAGCACCCCATATGGTCTCCTGAGCACCGCCAGGAGCAATTCCTGAGTGCATGAGCCAGGAGTAACCCCTGAGCATTGCTGGGTGTGACCCAAAAAGCAAAAAATAAATAAATAAATAAAATAAATGCAGGCTCAACACAGATGAGGCCACAACAGTCACAGTAACTAACATCTGTTGACATTTTACTACTTCCTGCATATGAGAAAAGCAGTAACAACAGAAAAGCAGGGAATGCTGCTGGTGGAAGGCACCGCATGCGAAAAGGGTTGATGTAGACACTAACTTCCTCCTCTCTGCGACAACCTTATGAAGCAGGTACTACTGAGATACTCATTTTGGGGTTTTCTTTCTGTTTTTTTTCCTACACGTGGCAGTGTTTGGGACACAACTTCTGGGCACGGTGATCATCAAGGGCAGTGCCCAGTGGCCCTTTGAGACTATACAGTGCTAGGGATCAAATCTGGAGCTGTTCAAGCAAAGCAGGCACTCCAGCCCACTGGGTCAGTTCCCTGCTTTCTAATAAAACTTTAAAAATTAAAAAAAAAAGACTAGTTCAGCAATTACATTCCTTTCAAGGCCACAGAGCAGGCGAAGGAGTCTAGATCCAAGTCTGGCTACAGATTCACACCTCTCATAAACTGACTGCTCTAACAATCATCTTCATTCTGAAGACAGGGAAACTGAGACACAGGGATAAAAAACTTGTCCACAGTCACAAACTACTAAGGCTCCAGCTAACACCAACTAAGTTTAATGGCACTGTGCTAAACTAACAGCAATCGGTATTTTCGAAGAGAAACTGGAAAAGACAACATCAGTCATTTTTGAACTCCTGCCAGCAGTTATTTGATTATGGGAAAAGAGAAAGGTGAAAAAAAAAAGACTTTATTAAAGACTTCAGGGACAGTGCTGTGCAATGGTTTGTTCAGTTTTTAGTCTCCTGATAAAGCTATTATGGGGTTTCTTATCCTAGAACAACTATGCGTCTCCTGACTTCTTATTAAAAGAAAGAGGTGCAGTAACATACAACACAGTTAGTGTAGGTGTTGCTTCCCTCTAAGGCAGGCCAAGAAACCTCTATGTCTGGCCCAAATATACAATGTTTCATTGAGAAGGAGACCAGCAAACTATATTCAACTGCTCCCTGCCCCTCAATGCTTCCTGATGACAAATAACTACCCCGGCTGTATAGGTAGAAAATTTGCACACAAATTTCCTCAGCTTTGGCCTCGTCTGGCATGCACGGTTTAACCCAAAGAGTTTTTGCAACTGGTATCGTGTACTTCACCTTCTTTGACACTTCAGAGCAAGTCATTTGGAAAGCTTCCCATCTTCACAGTATATTCCCTTTTCCGCAACTTACCTCATCGTCCTTCTTGGCAATGCTTGCTAGTGAGAGGTGTGCACATGTCCTCATCATTTTAAGGAGTTTAACACCACAGACACAAAACTTTTCAGGGAGGACTGACTCCACAGAGTGAGATCACTAGTAAGCACGGACAGTGAATGCAGAAGCACAGGGCCACCAGTACGTGTGAACTTATTAATCATAATTATTATTTTTTTTCTAGGAAAAGGATTTCCTTAGTCAAACCTCCAGGGCATCAGATCAAAGGAGATACTGCTTCAGCTGGGCTGTATTTCCCAGCCAACTGGCCGGGGAGGAGAATGTAGACAGTGTCCTGGCAACGTTTAACATAGCAGCAATCCATTAAAGAGAGGGAAAGGAATTCTTTAGAATGACTTTTTAAAGAGTTTTCTTTGACTTTTACTTTTCTCCTTCTTCTTAAATTTTTGCTTCTTTTTAGGAACAGTCTGAGAGCCATATTCAAATCCTAGTGGCTATCTTACATATAGATACACTATGAGAACGAATGACCCTGAAAATCACTGCATTCTTTCTAGACAGAAACAAAAGGGGCATTAATAAATTTTTTTAGAGAATTTTTGTTTGTTTAAAAGACTGTATCTTTTATAATTATTGTGAGAAATGTATCCCAGGTCTACTGGCAGAGTATGTGATCAATTTTCAATTTCCAGTTTGATACATGTCACTCCCAACTTTACCAGGACACTGTACAATCATGAGAGTCATGGTGACTGATTGAAAGAAATTGCAGCAGGAGACATTTAATTATATGCCCTGGAAGTTCTCCCAAAAATGTGTAAAAGGAAATTATAAAAGTGACTAGTATCACACGAGAACAAAGGCCACAAAATTCAAACCCCACTATGTCAGAAGCATAGCAATACACACAAGGATCGCGTGGAAATGAGAAAACAGAAAGCACACCAAAAGGTTTCATGAATTACAGAGAAATAAGATGTGAGAATGATTGTGTGAAAAAAAGATGTAAGCAAACAAACATTTCTATAGTTAAGGAAAGCTGTTTCTCACCGTTCTGAACAAAATGGCTGAACTAAGAGCATCTGATTGGCTATGCCCATATACCCTCCTCCTCATCCTACGGGGAGATGACAATGCCCCAGAGCAGCATGGGAATGAAAAAGAGTTGGTTAGTACTTAAAACAAAGACACAAGCATAATGCAGTAGAAGAAAATGGTCTCTAATTTCTTGACGCTTTTTATGTTAGGTCCTAACTCCTCCATCACCAGATTAGTAATTAGTTTGTCATTTTACTTCTACTCTTCCTGTCTTGCCAAGACTCTATCCAGGACTGGGTCAAATGACCAAATAGACTTTCATTTCTTCTTCTTCTTTTTTTTAACTCCTCTTCCACTTTTCTCTATTTTGGTTTGCCTCCTACTCCAAGGCATACAACTTCATGTATCGATTTTCAAAATCTGATCCAAGCGAAGGATCTCATACTCATCTTACATACGCTGGCATAAATTTAATTTCAGTTATCAAGGAAACAGGTGGAGAAAGCCAAATAATTGTTTGGCAGAGAGGGGCGGCTGACACAACAGGCAGTCAGCTCTCCCTTTTGCTTATAAACTATACTGTTTCCCTCTAAAACGTAAGATTTGCCTTAACTGACTTAGTAAACGTTATCATGCTCTGACTATATCATCTGAAACTTAGAAGAGAAAAAGAAAGACTTGCAATTTGGCTATCATTGCTGCTTTCATCTGTAATACTTCTTTTCAGACTAAGACAATGCCACTGCTATCATTTCACAGAGATATTTAGCGGGGGAGTTCCCCCAGACTCTTTACTCATATGGATGTAATTACTTAACTATTATTTTTTTCCTTCAGCTATACATTTTAAGACTGAGTATGATGGAGATGTTGAAATCTGATTTTTGGCAATGGGATATGAGGTAATCTGTTCACCACTCTCCCCCATCCATCATTTTCAAGATCTTGGGAGAATTCCCTTCTTCCAAAAAAAGTGCAGTTGAATATGGTTCCCTTTAGATTCATCAATGCTTTATTTTTTTATTTTTTTAAAAATTTTTGCATTGATGAGTAGTTGAAGGCAACAATTTTCCTTAAAAATGACATATAGAGGAGGGATCCACCACTCATAAGAATGAGAAAAACTGTTTTATTCTTTTATTTTTCCCTTAGTAGGTGATGCAGAGATTTAAGTTCTGTCTGCCATTAAACAATAGTCATCGCTACACCTGAGTTTTGTCCTCTAAGCTCACCAAGATCGATGTCTAAAGGCCCCATTTCTTTAATAAGAAAAGAAAGATACAAATTAGTACCATAGGTAAGGAGATTTTTTTTTCTCAGTACAATTTAAAATTTATCATCCATTTCCTCTTTTTTTTTTTTAAGTATCTGCTCTTAAAATACTCAGAACTGTCAATCACTTTTCTATGAAGAACTAAAATTTGTGTGAGTATGAGAACAGGGGTTTTTAAAAATCACTTTCATTTTTCATACTCATACCCTAAAACTGTAACACTAACACAATTATAGGAGAGTCAAAGTGTGTGATTCTCTAAGCCACACAAGAGCAGTCTTACCTGGTCTGGGGAGGGCTTGTGATTAGTTTGGTTGGAATGGGAGGATTTGAAGTGGTCATCCTCATAGTTGTCGGCCATTAGCTTCATTCGATTTTGTGTCTAGGAGGAAATGATTCATAAATTACATTTGAATAAAACGGCTAAGATATATCATAGAGTCACAAAAAGTGACTTAAGAATGCCAGAAGGGGACACACAAACGAAACTCGGACCCGAGCAACTTGCTGTAGAGATGGCCCCGGACTTTGCAATAGGCCATTGCTTCTGGGCTGCTCCAGATGGGGGCAGGTGCCGTCGCTCTGCCTAACCTCTAGGACTCCGGAGGCCGCCATGTTCTAGAAGTCAGTGACAAGCTCCAGGTATGAGTGGCAGTGGTGGCAAATCCCAAGCCTCACGGGACAGGGGAGGAGTGAGCCCTTCTCCTTCCCCCGCCCCAATGGGACTCTGAGATGATGCCACATCTGGCCACCGTCTACTTAAGCTCCTAATCGGCCACGATTCAGAGACACACAAATGAATCTTGGACCCGAGCAACTTGCTGCAGCAATCTCTTTAGATCCTAATTATTAAAATTTTAGAATTTCCAGAGCACATGGCCACACTTGCGGCTGCGCAACATTATATTGTATCCATAACAAGCAACACAAAACACATTGTCTAGCAGTGCATTTTCGGCAGGTATGAGTGGTGGTAGGTCTGGTCTTAAAACACTGAAGGGAACTAAAGTAGAGAAAGAGTACTGTGCAAACTGTCTGCCACATAGGCAGGGGGAGGTGTGGGATTCAGGGAGGATACCGGGGATTTTGGTGGTGGAAAACGTGCACTGGTGAAGGGATGGGTATTTAATGACTATATGATCGAAGCTCAAACATGAAAGTTTTGTTACTGTATCTCACGGTGAATCAATAAAAAAACAAATTCAAAAAAGAATGCCAGAAGGTGGCCCAGGATTTTCTTCTGGGGCAGAGGCAGAGTGCTCATCTTGCAGACAGCAGGCCACAGCTTTTCTCACCAGCGATACCCCACATGATGAATGTGATCCCAGAGACACATTTGGGATCCCCAGCACCTCAACAGAAACTGTGTGACGCCTGGTGAGCACTATAACTATGTGTAATGCCAGGCAACCAATGAGTGCATAAGCACTGGCAAGTATGGGACCCCTGAAAAGCACAACTTTCGTGTGTAAGCACGGCAGCCAAGTGTGTGCAAGCCCCAGTCACTGCAGTAACAACACAGGGAAGGGACGAGGATCATAAGTGAATGTTAAAAAAACCCTATATTTAATGAAGTAAATTATAGGAGTTTTGAGAATTTGTTTGGTGAGGAAAGAAGGCTTAAGACCTGCAACGCACCAAATAGTATCTCAACTTCATGGTGAAGATCTCTCCCTGCAATGTTAACTGTCTGAATAAAAACCTTTCATAGATAAAGTTTAAATGAGTCCCGAAAGGAAACATTTACTTTGTAGAGTCATCAGTTCAGAAAATGCAGGGTATACTATACACAAAATCAAACAGCAAAATCTAATGCATTAGGTTACTGGCAAAATAGGTTTTAAATGCGTTTAAAATGAACTTCTTATTGCAAATTTAAATATGTCCAATATAGATATCTTTTTCCCCATGAGCATAAAAAGTGGTATTCTTCTCATTTTCTCTACCACAAAATTTACCATACCTTACGGTATATTTTGGGCTGGAGCGATAGCACTGTGGGTAGGGTCGGCTGACCCAAGTTTGATTCTTCTGCCCCTCTCAGAGAACCCGGCAAGCCACATGGCAAAGCCTGGCAAGCTCCCTGTGTCATATTCGATATGCCAAACACAGTAACAAGTCTCACAATGTTAGTGGGCCCGCTTGAGCAAATTGATGAGCAATGGGAGGGCAGTGACAGTGACAGTGACGGTATGTTTTAATATCTGGTAGATGTCTAATCAGTCTACAATTCTATTTTCTCAAAATCGGCTACAGTGGAATAGCACGGGAGCTTAGAAGAGCCTGCCTTCCAAGCCTAAGGTCGTGAGTTCAAATGGCCTCACGTGTGCCCAATCTGAGCTGAGCAGTTATGCTGTGCGACTGGTACCTCTACCGTTGGAAATCCCTGGCACTACACTCAGAAACCTGTGTTGAGGTCGACACAAAAAGGGGCACAACTCCTGGGAAAGACTGCAACTGAAAGCAATGTCAGTGCCTTGGCCAGAAAACGGGAGCCCTGGTGAGCACGTGAATACTGCAACCACCATGACTGGTGCACCTCCACTGAGATCTAAGCATCCCTCTGCTGAGCGCACGTGTGAGCACTGCAACCACAAGACAAGCCCTGGTAAGCGCCCTGACCGAATGCAGCCAGCTATCATAAAGTCGCTGGGGCAACATTAAACATTTTGTTAAGTTGCATTTCAAAGCCTCTAGGTTTTTTCTTTCTTATTATCCTTTTTCTCTTTCTCGGGAGGAGGTCCATGTGCAGTGCTCCAGGGCTGCTCCATGCTGCTCCTGGTGGCACCCAGGGCTCCTGCATGTAAAGTCCAAGCTCCAGTCCACTGAGCTCTCTTACTAGTTCTTTTATTTTTATTTTATTATTAATTTTTAAAAATTTTAATGTAGGAGTATTGCTATTTATTCAGCCATTGATTGGGCTAATTGAATTGGGCATGAACTCCACCTTACTTTTTTTTCCTTTTTATAAATTTATTTATTGAATCACTGTGAGAGCAGTTACAAAGCTTTTGGGTTTAAATCTCAGTCATACAATGATGAAACACCTGTCCCTTCACCAAGTGTCCATTTTCCACTTCCAAAAACCCCAGGATGCCCCCATCCCACACGCTCCCCCTACCTGTGGGGCAGATGACTTTCACATTACTTTCTCTCTACTTTGATCACATTCAATATTTTGACACCAGACTCACCATTATTACTTGGAACTTTACCCCAACACTCAGATCTGTTGAAAAGGCAACTGTAGACAATTTGTTTTCTATTGCTGGTTATGAATAACATATGATGTCACGTAGCTGCAATAGTGGCCATGCAATTTGGAATTCCAAAATGTTAACAATTAAACCTGGAGGGATTTCTTCCAAAACCTGCTGGGTTCCGAGGTTTGTTTCTGAGTCTCTGGGATCATGGCCGTTAAGCAGCTTGATCAGGAGCCAGCGAGGCCATTTGTGGGCAGTGACCCGGGGTCTCTTTGAGGTGGGGAGAAAAGGGCCGGCTCCACCCCCATCCCATGAGGCCCTGTGTGTCTTGTCACTGTGGGCCCAAAACTGTCTGTCCAATGGTCTCTGGGAGATGGCGGCCACTGAGCCACCAGGGGGAACAGGCCAAGGCACGAAACCTATTCCCACCTGGGGTGGCCGTGCACCGGTAACCTACTGCATGGATTGGACACATTTCTGCCAAAAGCCTCTGGGTTCTGAGATTTGTTTCTGAGTCTCTGGGATCATGGCTGTTAAGCAGCTTGATCAGGAGTCAGAGAGGCCGTTCGTGGGCAGCAACTCATGGTCTTATTGGGGCAGGGAGGAGAGAGCCAGCTTCACCCCCATCCCGTGAGGCCCTGTGTGTCTTGTCACTGCGGGCCCAAACCTGACTTCCAATGGCCTCTTGAGGACGGCAGCCACTGTGCCATCAAGAGGGAGCAAGCGGAGGGACAGCACCCTTTCCCCTCTGACGTGGCTTGGTGCCAGCAACCTACTGTGGGGACCAGACGCATTTATGCCAAAATGCTGCTGGATTTCGAGATTTGTTTCTGAGTCTCTGGGATCATGGCCGTTAAGCAGTTTGATCAGGAACCAGAGAGGGCTTGCCTCCAATTATATAGCTGAGCTGGGGGTGGTTTGTGGGTGTGTCTTCCACATACCTAACTTTTGGTCGTTTATTTTCTTGGTAAACTTGGCCCCAAGTTGTTGGGGTCTTGTGAAAGGCGCAGCAGCAATTTTGGGGTATCTGGAAGTCTGAAGGCGCCATTAGGCTGCTGATGCACTCGCCTCACAGGTACAGACTGACCTGTGGCGGCACCATACCCCTGTCTTTTTTTTTTTTCTCAATAGTCTTTAATTATAGTCTTTAATTTTGGGGAATAAAGGAAAGGGTTTTTTTTTACAAATACAGAACTTACACAGAAAAAAAAAGATTTTCCACAATGAAAAGGTCAGACCATCAGTAAATTTCTCCACTGTAACAGAGCAAACTTGGACAAACTTGCAGGCTATCGAATGTAGCCTGCCCACAGGGCAGAGTCTGGCAAACTCCCCGTGGCGTACCCAATATGCCAAATACCAGTAACATTGATGGGTCTCATTCTCCTAAAGAGCCTTGAATATAATCTCAGGGCTAGGATGAAAGAGACGTTACTGGGGCCTGCTCGAGGCAATCGACGAATAACAGGATGATGAAATGATGATGAAAATGAAAACAGAGCAAAATAAAAAATATCTATGCAGTTTTTCAAGGAGAAAAATTTATAATGTGGTTAAGTTATATAGTTAGTGATAGAGAGGACAACAACTAGTTCTCTCTTTCTCTAAAAAAACCTTGGAGTCAAACCCAGGGCCTCTAAAAAAACCTTTTTCTCTAAAAAAACCTTGGAGTCAAACCCAGGGCAAAGTAGGGTCTTCTATAAGTGAGCTTTAGCCCTGGTCTCCCCACCCCCCAACTCCCGTCCCCAAGTTCTGCTGCAAGAGCAAGAGCTTGGGAAGAAAACTCCTGTGGTCAGAATTCCATTCTTCTGGGAATGGGGAGATAGTAGAGAAGGTAGGGCACTTGCCTTGCATGTGGCTGACCCGAACCCACATCCTGTATGGTTCCCCAAGTACCATCAGGATTAATTTCTGAGTGCAGAGCCAGTAATAACCCTTGATCACATCCAGGTATAGTATAGTCCAAAATTCCACATTAAAAAAAAGGAAAAAGAGTTTCACAACTTCTTAACAATTACCTAAACTTGGGGGGCAAGCTACTTAAGTATTCTGAGTCTGCTTCCACATTTTTCCAATGAAGGTAACAATACTAAGAAAGCACTTTTCGAGGCAGAATTTATTTCAAGTGCTTTATGGGAATGAATATGTAAGTCCCCTCAAAGAACAGGAGACAGATAAG